TTTGCCCCCCCCAAGCCAAAGCTAAATTATTTTTAAAGTATAGGTAATGTTGTTCACAGATTTTGTTTTTCAATCTAATAAATTCAAAATGGACAGATTGCCACAACCTCTGTTAAATCCTGAAACAAATTTACAGTATCTAATCATTGCCTCTCTTTCAACTATGGAACATATAAATCCTATCATAGAGGAACTAAAAAACAATTATAAAAATTGGGCAATATTTAACATCTCAATTAAAACAACACATTTAGAGTGAAAATAAAAGACATATTCAGAAATTTCTGTAAACAACTGCTTTTTTTGGGTAGGACCTTAGATCAAATGTTTTGAAAAGGTTGGTTCTTAAATAGAAAGTACATTTTAAGAGAGCACATTTACGACATATTAAAAGCAAGTGAAAATTGGACTGCATTGATTTGAGTTCATGTTACCCAAGTTTGTGATTTAGTTTCCATTTTGATGTTCTATTGTCCTTCAGAAGTCACTTAATTTCTCTGGATTAGAGATTTCCTAATAGAGAAAACAAGAAATAACAATTTCTACATTCACATCTTAAAACAAAAATGTGATGGATCTAAAAATATTAGAAATATTAGGAAGCATATTGATTTGACTTTTCCTCTTCTTAATAATATTATTTAGTGCTTGTTAAGTAGCAAACACTGTTATAAGTGTTTTAAAACTATTAAAACTTGTAATATTCCCCCACAAGCTATGAGGTGAGAATATTATACCTATTTCGCTAATGAGAAAACTGAGCAACAGAAATGTTAAATAACTTGGGCCAAGTCACACAGCCAGTGAGTGGCAGAGCCAGAATTCAAGACCTCGTCGTCAGGCTGTAGTATCCATGGTTTTTACCACCTTGCGTGTGTGTGTATGTGTGTGTATTATACAAATATAATATATATGTATATTTATTACATTATAACACATATTGCATTATAATAGGCATATATTATATATGTATATATGTGTATTATATATGCACATTATAGGTATATGTATATATGTATATTACATATATACTATATAATGTGCATATATAATATATGTGCATATGTATATTATATAGTATATATGTAATATACTATATAATGTGTATATGTATTACATTAATTACATTATTATATATGTATATTATATGTGTATACATATTATATTACATATATTTGTATATTGTACACCCATACACAGACACTAACTTTATTGAACTAGGTATTTTACTAGGGTTCTTACTGAAGCTCCATAATAGCTCAATGAAATAAATTCTAACATCATTATTTCACAAGCAAAGAAACCGCACTATAACAAAGTTAATAGTTTGCCCAAAGTCACAAAGCAGTACAAGATTGAGCTCAGGAATTCGGACTCCAGAAGTTGCTTTTCCTATACTGCTATACAAAAATATATCATTACCAAACTGAATAAATTTATCAATGCTCTGCTTCACTTTAGAGGGATTTTGGATGCTTTCAAAATATGTTGTAGGTTGTATACAAATAAGATATTAGTTTGCATAATTGTTGCAGATTGAAATGTGGAAGTAACACGACATGGTGAAAGGCCAACGGAAATGGAACACATGGGCTCAAGTCATAGCTCTATCACTGCCTATAAAGCAGATGACACCTGCCTTGTCCAGCTCCACACATTACTTGAGCTCACTGTCTGTTGGGGAGAACTGGTCAAGTGGACACAACGTGACTGTGAAGGGGAAAAAGAAACAGATGCCTCATGCACAGGAAGAAGAGACGTGGGTGTTAGACCCAGTGATTTCTATGATACTTCACATCTAATGGAAGAAACATAATACTACCCTTCTCCTAGTTTATTGCATTGACTTAATATAGTTAGCATTTAATATATGGAACACATACACAAATACTAGCCAATATTACTTGAAAAATACCTATTCAAACATGAAGAAATACTTAGGAAAGCCAACTAGCAGGGATATTGGGGTTTGGAATATTATTTTTTAATCTCTTAATTTGGTTTTGCTATGCTATGTTCCTATAATAATGATAATAATTGCATTTATTGTATTTGGTATTTACTATGTTCTAGACAACATGCATTAATTCATTTGTGTATTCTCACAATGACCTTATGATGTAAGCACTATTTATTACCCTGTTTAGTATATAAATATATTATAAACTGAATCACTTTTAAGATGGGTGCGAATAAAGCTTTTAAAAAGAGGGGTTTTTTTTTGGTATATGTTGTAAACTTTAGTACAATGTTAACTGACAACTAATTTTAAAGACTTAGAAGAAAAAAAACTAGCATTTCATGGGCACCTTCTATGACAGACATGATGCTCCTGTTCTAAATGTTTTCGTAAAACACTCACACCAATCCACTAGGATAAGTACATTAAGCTACATTTGAATGAAGAGAAAGGTGAGATGTATAGACTTCAAACTTATGTATGTGTTTGTACGCATTTATGTGTTTAAAGATCAAGAGGGGATTTATCATTGCAAATACATTGAAAATAATTCCTGAAGGATGTCTTTGAAAGAGCTGAATATGAGTATGACAGGGTATACAGGCTGATGAAATTTTAATTTGTTTTACCTACAATGTTTTATTTTGTCATTTTTAAATCGTATTCCATCATGCACTGATTTATATTAATTTTACTTGCTAAGATTTTTGTTGAGGCATGTGGTAAATAGGTAAGAGACTTTAGGTAGTACAGAGATGGCAGCCATTCATATGCAATGGGGGAAATCGTGTTTATTCAAAAAGAGTATTCCAAATTGCCTTGCCCAAGGAGGGATGACATATGTATTGCATATAGCTAATGTTTAAGATGTTCTCATACAGTATTGGCTTAACTACTGATAAAAATTTCATAAAGTCATTATAGTTAATGAAATATTTTTGTTATGGAACTAAAAAGCTAATATTATTTCATATCAAAATGTGTACCACTGTGAATGAAAATGCCTTTTTTCATTACATGAAACTCTATGAGGTTTAAAAATAAAGTTGAAAAGCGTCAACTACAGAGAGTTCATATTATCATTTATTTACATATTTTTACCACAGTAGATATTCTAAATTTTTGTGTTTTCATACTTCATTTGAAAAATCTGTGTTCCAGTACCTTCATTCATCATGAACAAGAGAGAAGTAAATGTGAATTTATCTAGCCATTTTCTTTCAAAGGCAAAAATTTGTCAAATTATCTGTGTGTGCATGCATGCACACACGTGTTATTATTTATCAGACAAAACAGATTCATTCATGATGATGGCTCTGTTTGGTATGATTTGCTTTCTCCATTTTGCCCTCCAGCTATTGGCGATTTTGCAACGTAGACTAAGTAGGGGGCCCTGAATGACCTAGTATATACAGCCACAGTATCATTCAACTTGTACAAAACATGTCAAATGTTTGTTTCAATGCAAATAATTATGTATGAAACTCTCTAAACCCACTTTAAGTAAATTATAAGTAGGCCAAGTGGATCAATGTTTATTTTGTGTTAGGTAGTTTTTAAATCTTCTTTAGTTTCATATAAAATTAAAATATGCAAATATTTATACAGAGAATAAAGTACTCAGTATCCATGTTTTTAATTAATTAGGAAATTCTATTGATTTTGTTAGTTTGGCTTGACTGACTTCATTCTATTAAAAGATTGACAGAAATACAAGCTTTGCCTTAGACCATGTATTCTTTCAATGAATATTAAAATGCATGTTTGTTTTAATTTAGCTTGTTTCCCAACAGCATTATATAGCCTATCTAAATTGTCTTGCTAGATATGCACAAAAAATTCCTAAATTTCCACATTATATTTTTGACATGTTAGAATCATTTGCTATTTTATTTTTATGTTTCCACTCTTTTCCTCTATGAGTTTAAATTTTAATTTGTTGAGATTCGAACTGTCATGTAGTTTTTAATTTGCATGTAGCTCCCTATAAAATAACACTAGTCCAATAAAGGTTAATATATAATGAGTGATATGATTTCAGGCCTATGCATCAGAATTCTACTTAAAAAAAGGACAAAATGTTAGGTCATTTCAAACAAAAATGCTCGTTTAAAATTCTGAGTTTTTATAAAAATCCCTCTAAAGAGTTTGAAACACACTGCTTTTTATTAAAATTCAATCTAGAAAAGGGCTTTGCTTGATTTTTTTGTCAGTGGTAATACAATTACATTGTTATGGGCTAGACATAAATGTATTTTCTATCTTCTACGTACAAATAATAACTGCTTAATTATTTTGTTCTTCAATAAATCTACAGTGCCTAGAATAAAGCCTACATTATAGTAGGTGTTCAATATTGATATTTCTGGAATAAATAAAAATTACATTTAATCAGAACCTACAAAATAAATAATCAAGAGATCGAATACACATCACAAATAGAATTTTATACACATATATACAAATATAAATTGTATACATATACTTTATATAAAGTTTAATAATATAAATATTTTCAATTTTATACTTACCTTTGAATTAGTTGATTTCTTGAAAGCTTGAGTCATTAAAAAAATAGCTTAACTTCAATCTTACATTTGTTATTTTAAATTTATTTGCTAAAACTCCATATAGAATGTGATCATTTGTCTTTTTCCAATAACCTATGTTATATTTTGTGGTTCCTATACATTCATTAAATAGGCATTCTATTGTTCTTCAAAATGCTATTGCTATAGAAATTTAGCTAAATATGTTAAATATAATATCACAAAAGTAGATTTTAAATTACTACTCTCAACAAAGAAAATTATCTATCTGCAACACTATAACAAATGAAAGATATTAACTAACAAACAAAAAAACATTTTTAACACAGGTAGAAAAACAATATCCAAGAGGCCAAGAGCTCCAGATTTGATATTTAAAACTTCCAAATTTTTTCTAGCTGGTTTGTAATATATTTATTTAAAAAACCAAGGAATAGATTAAGATCAATTCATGCTACTATTTATACCCCCGGAAAATCATTAAGGAACAGTTTAATTTGGTTACAAGATTCTTTATTTTGTAAACTATACATAAACAGTAAAAAAGAAAATGCATTGTACCTTAAATATTACATAAAGTCAACATTAAAGTTTCTTTTTTTAGTGTGTATTAATCAAATGGAAATAATCCAACAATTTTACTTTCAATGAATTGTATATTGGGAAACCAGTTGATCCACTGTTTAAATTATAATAGCAATGAGAAATATTCAACACGTTTTTTCATTTTTATATGGGCACAAAACCATAGGTCTGATATACTTAAAGGTGATGGTATGCTGAAAAGTCTACACAATTAATTAACATGCTAAATTAAATATAGCAATTAAAGTATTTTTGTTACAGTTAAATCTTAAATGCTAGTCTACACAATAATCATAAACAAGTCCACATGGCAATTATGTAACAATAGAAAAAAGAAAGGAACACATTCCATTTTCTTCATTCCAGCAGCAGTACCTTTATTGGTATTAATTTTGTTAATTAGGTGTGCTTATATATTGTCTAATATCCTATATTGGTGTGCATGCTAAAACCTTTCTATTTCTATTTTGCAAGGCACCATACAATACGTTCTCTAAGTTTCGACACTAGTAACAAAATGGTATAATTCTTAGATTAAATGTAAATTCTCTTCTAAAATAGGAAATAAAATAAGAACTAAGATTTTTAAATTTGACATTAGGCATGTGACAAACTATATGTGAAAATATTTAAATAAATCTTTCTCTTTGTCTTCCTAGTTTAAATTCTGCACCCTAAGTTGCTGGTCAGAAAGATAAAGAAATCTAGAAAGGTAAATAAATCGTGCTCTTTAAGAATATAAAAGAAAACATCTACATGAGCCTGCTATCCAAATTTAAAAAAAAAATAGAATGAACAACTAAGTTTTTAACTTTCAGAATCCATGGTTTTCCATACTTGCCATTTCAAAAAATATCCTATCATATCCAGAATAACTACATAATTAAAAACATCATTATTAATGTAAACACGATATAGGACTTATTTTTCTTACCCTGTGTGGTATCCCCTCACTCATCTCTAGGTTTCGGAAAAATGCTACTTTGGAATTGCAATTAAGGTCATGCATATTTTCTTAAAATCCTGGGGACCCAGGTCACCAATAAGTTATTATAAATTTAACTTAGAGTATCTCTCAAAAACATAACACATACTACTTCCAACACTGGTGGTTGTTTTGTTTGTGGGAGATTTACATAGTTTATTCTTAGGAAATTTGTTTATTGAGTAGCTCTTCATACTTCTCTTCCATCTGGCTAGACTCCATATGTGTTTTCTTTTTCTCTAAGGCATATAAAAACTCAAAGTAAATAACTGATTTAAACATAAAGTTCTGACTTTAGCTGCAATATTTGAAATAATTATACAAAATATACGTGAGTTTTAGAATCATTTTGTTTGGGAGCAAAAAGGTAATTCTCAATAGGCTATCACTTTGTAAATAATAGAAATATTAAATTTATTGATCTCTGCTTCATCAAATGTAGCCATCGTGATCATCACCGTCATCGTCATCATCCCCTTCATCTTCATCATCATCTTCAATTTCATCTTCATCGTTCATAATATCATCTTCATCATCCTCATCATCAGTCCATTCATGGAAATCCCCACTTGCAAAATCTCCAGAGACCTCAAAATCAATAGCTTAGGGAAAATGTAAACATTAATGTTATTTGACTGAGTAGTGAAACAATATCTGAATATAAAATCCTGATAAAAACTGAAAAAATTAACAAAATTTTACTTTGCTCTTTAGCTGACTTAACAAAGGTGAGGAAGAATCCATTCTCTAGTATTTGTTAAAAAGCATGCAATTAAAAAAAAGAATTGTTACTGAGGTCTGATGTGCAACATTTACAGTTCAGGAATATTGATCTCAGCCCAGTTTTTTAGAGTCCATATTACACTTTGAATATGACAATTAAATATTTCTTCTACTACTATAAAAAATAAAATAATTGCCCCACAAAGATCTTCAATTCCTAATCACTGCACCTGCAAATATGTGACTTCATCTGGTAAAGGGACTTTGCAGATGTGATTACATTGAGGACCTCTAAATAGGTAAATTATCGTAGATCATTATGCGAGGACCAGATCCTTACTTGCATCTTTAAAATCAAAGAACCTTTCCCAGATAAAGTTAAATGGGGATTTGACTACGGAATAATGTTCAGAGGGACGCAATGTTGCCAGCTTTGAAATTGTAGGAAAGGGTCTGTATGCTAAGGCATTTGATCAGCCTCTAGAGACAGGAAGCAGTTCCTTCTCTAAAGCTTTCAGGGGAAATGCAGCCTTGAAAATATCTTGGTGCTCATCACAAGGAGACCCATGCTGGACTTCTGATATATAAAACTACAAAATAATAAATTTGTGTGGTTTAAGCCACTAAGGTTGTGGGAATTTGTCATAATATTAAATAATAGCAACAGAAAGCTAACATAGCTAGCTAGTCCGTATTTTTAAAAATTTTTAGAAATGTATATTACTATATATGGGGATAATAATACACATATTATTTTGTATGTATTTATTTTTAACTTATCTGATATTAGTGTGTGCTTATTTTCTACCCTTTCTAATATTTAGTCTTATAATTCTTTGGTAGCTAATTACAATATACCCTATCAATGTAATCCAGTATTTATAATTTGACTGATTCATAATACAACACATTGAAATTTATATCCTATGTGAATAAAATGTTTCTTCATTCTCCTACTTCATGTATTTTCTGAATAACTTCACCATGCTAAGAAAATTCAGAAGTAATGTTCCCAAAACAAATTTTCTGTTCATTTTATCGAAACTCAGAAGTCATGTTCCCTCCCAAATTTTTCTGTTTATCTCTATATAATTTTTATTTACAACATAAATTAGAACTCTTTATCACTGGCATCAATGATAATTGAAGTAATTAATAATGCAACTAGTTTAAACTACGTATTGCAAGGTATGTTAAGTAGCTATGGAGTACTACTTTATCCTACTTAAATCTAAAATTGGTGGTCAGAAAACCAAAGCCAAGCTATTAAAAATCTTATGGAATAAATAAATGCTGAACAGGCATGCTAGCTTTAAATTAGATTACTTTTATATTGTTCACCATTTATGTATTTCTAAACAATCACAAGTCTAGCAAACAATCTAAGTCCACCACTTTAAAATTTACGTAGAGGAGAAAACTCAACATTTTCTAAAATACAGGAGAGACCAAATCTTTTTTCCATTTTTGGTCATGTGTATTATTTGAAACACAATCCATTAATCCTTAGTGTGTGTGTGTGTATATGAGTGTGCATGTGTTTTTTTGAGTTTGTAGCTAAATTGCTTTTATAGTGATAACTCTTCATAGCATAAACAAAAATACTGATTTGAAACTTACATTCTGGAAAAATATTTTATGAAACAAAAAAGATGACATGTTTAAAACTTTAAAGTCCATGTATGCTATGTTCAATGTAATTGTAATATTTTTAGCATACTACATAAACATGCATGCTCATAAACAGAATTCAAGTATTAATTATAATGACCCTTCAATTAAATTATATTTTTATCATCCAAACATAAGGAAACAAGCTCAAATAGCTGCAGTTTATGGACCTTTACTTTAAAAAGGTTAGTTGTTCTCTCATTGGTGGGACTATGTGCTCACAAAGTCACCTTCTCCAAAGGTACACATAAAAAGGGTGCGACGCACAGTGGTTGGCTGACAGATAGAATGGATGACTAATGGACGATAGAAGGTTTGACTTACCTCAGAAAAAACAGTAGGAATCTAACAACCTTTCTGCATTTGAAGTAGTAAAAGGAGTCTACCTTGTAATAATTATCCCTTAAAATGTCTAAATGATGCAACTCTATTTATTAATTACACAAAATTTTAATATGCTAGGAGTAAGTCTTTTTGTTGCTCCTTCAAAATACTCTATAGTTTTGCATAGAGTACATCCTCATTAATTGCTTGAGCAAATAAATGAGATTCTTAAGTACTTATACTGGGCTTGAAATATTATTACTAAGGAAGTACCCATTTGCTTACCACAACCTGCCACACCATTTGTTCTGGATCCCATGACTTCATTTCCATATCTGTCAACACACCAGCACTGCCCCACACTGTTATGGCATTGGGTTGGCTTGTAGTAACCGTCTTCATCACATAGGGGTATGTACTGTCCTATGAAACATGCACACACATTGTGATTAAGTTGTGTTCCTTTTTGATAGTGACCAATTATGCATTGATTCACTCAAGACAAACACATATAGAGTTCCCACTCCAGGCTATGAAGCTGGCCATTGTCATAATGAATTGCTTAGATTTCTTTTGTTAAGCAAAGTTACGCTGCAAAGGGTCCTGTTTTGAGAGGTATGATACAGAATTAAAACCTGATTAATAGCATTCACGTTAAGTCATCCAGTCCTCTCATCATGGCACACCAGATACTTCACTGCCTCATCACTGCCAACATTCTATTTTCATTCACATATTTTAAGCTCTTTCTACATCAAGCTGTTTCCTACAAATTCAATACTGCTTCATCTCCCCATGTACCTTTTTCTCTCCTGAAATCCCTCTCCTTCCTTGCTTCTTCCAATTTAAGACTTGACTGAATATGAAACCCTCTCTTAAGCTGGAGGATTTCCAATATGCTTCTTCCAGTGTGTGTGTGTGTGTGTGTGTGTGTGTGTGTAGTTTTTCAGTGAGTATCACCAAATCTTGACAACCATTTCTGTGGATTAAAGGCCAGCAAAAATAAGGAAAATTTGTGTGTGTGTGTGTGTGTGTGTGTGTGTGTGTGTGTGTGTAGTTTTTCAGTGAGGTAGACAGAGTATCACCAAATCTTGACAACCATTTCTGTGGATTAAAGGCCAGCAAAATTAAGGAAAATTTTTAACAATCTTACACTACCTCATGAAAAAATACCATTGTTTGACATATTAGACATAAAAAAGTTCGGAGGTATAATTAGTGTGACCTTTTAAACTTTGGGCAAGTATACTTTGAAAATGGAAGATAAAACTATTAAGAGTTATGCTAGAAATTCAGATTCAACCAAAACTGAACTTGCAAATTGGAACGAATGGCACCCTACACTTAACAATTGATCAGTTTTCAGACAAATACTTAATTCTTATCAAAATTAGGAAAAATATTTAAGACATTCAGTACTCCCTAACAGTGGTTTTACTTGTATTTTTATTATGTAAGACTATCCCTGGCTGGTGTGTCTCAGTGGATTGAATGCCAGCCTGCGACCCAAGGGGTTGCTGGTTGGATTTCCAGTCAGGGCACATGCCTGGGTTGCAGGCCAAGTCTCCTGTTGGCAGTGAGTGGGAGTTAACCACACATTGATATTTTTCTCCCTTTCTCTCTCCCTTCCCCTCTCTCAAAAAATAAATAAAATTTAAAAAAAAAAAAGATAAAGGTGACTCCTCCCAAATGGGAGCTAAATTCTTTTTGTAATTTTAAATAATCAAAATCTGAATTTCAATAAACTTTTGTCACTAGCAAACCTTGCTCATGTCTAAAATAAATTTTAGTTAAATTTTAATGGATTTTCCCATTGCATATGGCTACACTTTGTGGAAACAAACAAACCAATGCATGAATATATTACTTTCTTTTGTGAGCTGTAATATGTGTATGTTTTATAAGAGTTAAAAGAAATATGACACATAGCTTTTCTCATTTGTAATGCTTTACATCTAAAAATTCTTTATTAAAAAATGAACCTTTTAATTTTGAACTGAGAATTTTCAAGTAATATAAAATTTTTTCTCTCCTAAACATACAATATTGTAATTACAAAAATAGCATATCATAACACAGATTCATCAGATTAAAAAACATAAAATTTTGTGCCACTAAATATACAAGGACATTAATATACATTAAAAAATTGCATATGTATGTCTGAACTGGTTCCTAAAGTAGAAAAAAGACATCAGTGGAAAAACTCCTAAAATCCAAGTAAAGTCTTGGCTTAGTGAATGGGAATATAGCAATATTAATTTCTTAAATTTGACAAATATATGGTGGTTATTTGATATATGGTAAGACGGTAACTTTAGGTGAGGCTGGTTGAAGGATATATGAAAACTATATACTGTCTTTCTAAAAATTTTAAATCTAAGATTGCCCCAAAAAGTTTATTTAAAATTGTATACTTATAAGAATAAACAAAATAGTTATATATAATAGTTTAATGATATGATAGCTTTGGGTAGGTGAAATCTGGAATTATATATCATCTATTAATCTAACAATTTAATATATATATTAACTTACTAAAAGTTAGTAAAAGGTGGTAGTGAAAAACACTAAAAAATGTGTTGTAAATTTTCTTGAGGTATTCAGGGCAGGCTTCTCTCTCTCTCTTCCTCTCTCTCTCTCTCTTTCCCTGTGTATATATATGTGTATATATATATGTATATATATGTTAATTCTTGAGTTGTAACCATAGAATTAGAATTGAAGTGCCTGCTGATGCTTTAACTTTATCATTGTTTAAATCTCCTTCTTTTTTACTTAATAACTCTCAAAATGAACATTATATTAGGGTAATAAAACAGATATAATATCTTTCAATATGTAAGATAATAAAAGTAAGTTTAATGGCTTTCAAAAACTTCATAAATTTTGTTACTGAAATTTAGTGTAGTCTATCTTTGTTGGATTAATATTGATTTTATGTTGCTGTTTCCCTGGGGCTATTTATGTAAGCAATAAAGACTTCAGAAGGATGATCTATTACTCACCTAGGAGCTTCTTTATCCCTTGCCGCTTCTGAATATTGCTGAGCTCCGTCTGGCAAGGTGGGTCTGCAATGACATTAAAAATGTTACTTCAAGGGTTATAGTTAAACTATAAAGTGTAATGTCTATGTTATAAAACTCCAGTTAGACTTTACATGGCTTTGGAAAACAAGTATTACATATAATTATTTTACTTTTGGAGATAAATACATATCTCCATGTCTGTATTTACATGTCTATCTATCTATCACCTATCTATCTAATGAAAGAAAGACTTTCCTTATTCTTACAGATTATCCTGATTTTCTTAAAAATAAATGAATTGAATAAAAAAAGAATGGCATAAAATGCTTATTATATGATGAAAAATGATTATTATCACTTGCTTTTAAAAGGCTCATCAACTCAGCAGTCCAGCTGATGGACTGCTGCCCAAACAGATAATGCCTTATGCTTTTCCTTCACTTAAAACAGTTTTTATGATGTAGACACACAGGTTTGCATTAAAAAAAGTGATCTATGAAAAAGTTAACCCTTCTTTCAAGTTATATCACATACACCTTTATAAATTTTGATAACAAAAAATGTTGTTAGACTTTGGTCTTTTTATTTCACCCAGGTGCTTTAAGTACACAGGCATGGGCAAAACGAGGAAACAACTCCACACCAAAGTGTGCTTGTATATAGCAAGTAGACTACAAGAGTATGTCAGCAATGAACGGCGGCAATGTGAGCACTTATAAGATTGTACCCAAGTGCATTGTGCCACTGTGACATTCTTTTGAGTTAATAGTGCTATTGTAATAATCATAACCTGCATGTTTTTTCATATGAACAACTGTAAATCTAGTTTACCAACCCCTGTATATGCAATTTAGAAATAGGACATAATAAACAATTTCTCATAAGTCATATTTAGAAAAACATAAAACTTTAAACCAATTTGGAAATAAGAATTTGTCCATTTTTCAAACTTAACCACTTAAAGGAGAACACTTCTTTAGGAGTGTAAAATTCTAAATAGACATAATACAGTTTGATTTATACTATTATTATACATAATTATATATTATTACATATAAATTCTTATCTAAAAACAGTTCAGTGTAATCATAAAGGTTTGAAAGAGCAAAACAATAAACTAGTACCTATTTTCCTATGCTACAACTGTTTAGGAACAAGGCAAGGTATAATTAATTCAAATGATTACAAAATTCTTTAGTGTACTAATCTCATAACATTCGATTATTACATTTGCATGTAAGTGAAGTGGAATGAGGAAACGAGACAAAGATTTTAATATATATTTTATAGTTTAATACGTAATACCAAAAATGTTTTTCTTTAGAGAATCTAAACCATAAAGAAAAAGAAAAAGTAATTTGTTTAAAAATACTGAGTAATTACTGATTGTTCTACCTCATTTTGAAATTGGTACAATTGACCAGTTTGTTTTCCTGAATTATATTGTGGAGCACAATATTAAACATTTAAAAAAAATAGAAATCAAGTGGTATAGTAATGGGGCTACAGAATGGATAGCTTAAAATTCACTGACAAATATGACATTTAAAGACAAGAAGAAAGATCTTAGCTGAAGTTTCAATGTTATATTGAAAGCAATTAATCTAACGGCTAATGGCTTGTTATTGTGAAAAAACTAATTTTTTTTATGTTCACTACTGAATTGCCTAAAAATCCAAGTGTATTTGAGTCTGACTAAATTCATAAACTCATTGAATAAACCTGATTACTAATCCTACAAGCTCTGTATATGAAAACATTTTAAGATTTCAAGAGAAATCATGATAGATTAGGCTGTTCAACTACATATAATATTTGATTTTGAATTTTTTTTATTATTTAAAAGGCAGCTCTGTCTGGCCCTTAAGTATACTTGGAGTACTTAATGAAGATTATACCTGTCATTTAGACTCACTTGCAAAGAACTGATCTAGATAAAGGATAGTAACAGACCTAGTGGCATGAAGGTTTAAACATGATTAGACTATGAGTAGTCAGCTAGGGTATACACACAAATTTATATCACGAGATCTATTTCCTCTTCATTGCTTATTGCCTAATAGTGTTTTAACTTTATGGGAAATTCTAATTTTATATGCTTAAAGTTTTCTGAGAATCATGCATTAAAAACATAGGCTTTAATTTAATAATTAAATTAACAAGTAATTTTTCCAAACAGTTAACAAAAACGAGAAAAGAAGATGAATTTGTTTTTACTAGATAAATTTCAAAATGTTGTTTTTAAAAATAACATTGTTAATTATTTTGCATTCTCTATTTAAAAACTCACACTTCTATATTGGAGCCATTTACATTTGATCTATATTGGAATTTCCAATGCAATGATAACAATGTAGTTTTATCTTCCCACACAAATTTGAACCAAATAAAATGTCACTGGGAAAAATAAATAAGGGAATATCTATATGTTTACAACAGTTCTAATATAAAAATGTTTGTTATACTCACAACTACTCATTTCTGAGGAGTGTATTTTTATTAGTTGTCATATGTTAGCTGTCAAATGAGAACAAAGTAGACATTATGGAGGTTTGTAAGTGACCCTCTGAGTACGCAGCATGCAGCTTCTCACCTGTGGCCTGCGCAACTCCAGGGGATACCAGGGACTTCCGCGGCAGCATGAAGGGCGCCTGCAGTTATACAGTAAGGGAGCCCTCTCTACCTTGCCTCTCAGTAAGCCATCGCCCTCATTCTCTTTTTTAAATCCATATTTTATCATTCATACAGCCTCTCACAGAATGGATATACTTGAATAACTTTATTATGTTTATATCATCAGTGGAAATTTTAAATACTCATAATACCAGAGGATGAAATTCTCTCTATTCAATATCTTCCATGAGATAGGAAAAACATCTTTTGTAATATAATATACATGAGCCACATTTTGATATCTCTTCCTGTAGATAAATTGTACAGTAATCTCTAGAAATAACCTTTTTTCATGGTAGTCCAAAATATTGGACATAATTGTTGACTGAAATAAGATTTAATGAATATAATTTGCCAAGAATTTGCACAGTGATGTCTCTATGTCATCTCATAATAATCACCTTGCAAATTCAGAATACTGAATTAAAACTGAGACAGAAGTCAAAGGTTCTAGTTTCAAATACCAGTTCTTGTACTCATTTTATAATATGAAGTTATTATAGATCAATAAACTTCAGTCCTTAGTCATAAAATGGTAATAACAATATTTTCACAGAGCTGTTTGAGTAATAAATAATTTTATGTATATGAATGTCTACATGAACCTGAATAAAAATTAGTTTTCTTTTTTTTTCCTGGATCTTACACAATCGAACTTTAAATGAAATAGCAACTAATTATTGATTTACTTTTTTAAGAGTACCGGCTTAGAATATAATTTTATGAAAGTTAAGTTATTAACTCCTAAGGTAACCAAAATACCTAATTAATATTCCTCCTACTTATTCATTCATGATTATTTAGAAAAAGAATTTTACAAACCACAATTATAACCATTTTATAGTTCTTAATTATCCTAATTTCAGAAAATTAGCCACAGAAACAAATTGAATTTCAATTAATACAAAGGGGAACCCCAAAATAGCCGGAATTATCTTCTGGAAGGCAGGCCCCTTGTAGTACATACTTTCCCCACTAGGTGAGTGTTCTAGGAACTCATCTGAACCCGTGAACCAACTGGCATTGTTGTGAGAGGCTGTGTTACACTTCAGTGAAATTTTTTTTGAAGACTCTTTCAATGAATTTGCCCATTTCCTGATGAGCACACCTGCCTACACTATATTGCATATTCAGCAGTTTTTGACCACAAACGGCATGAACACCCTGCTGCACCCTCCCTATTCACCCAGTCTTGCCCCGAACAATTCTCCCCACCCATGAAAAAAGTCCTCAAAGGGAAATGTTTTGCCAATGTGGAAGAGGTGAAACAAAAAGTGGCAGAAGTTCTAAAAGGCATCAAAAATCAATATGCTCAAAAACTGTCTTGAGCAGTGGGAAAAAAACACCTTGATAGGTGTATTGTATTAAATGGAGAGTACTTTGAAGTGACTGAAGTTTAAACATGTAAGAATAGATACACAATTTTTTTATAAATAAATTCCAGGGTTTTTTGGGGGGTCCTCCCTTGTATAAGATATTTTTCCCTTGGAAATCTATGTGTTTCACTTCCTTGAACATTTAAATTCTCAACCTCATTTATTAACATTGAAATTAACCTTACTAGTTTTGAAAGGTATTTATAAAAAAATCATTACTTTGTTTTTAGATATTTCTAACCCTTTATAACTATAGTCTTGATTGCTGTTTTAAGTAAACCTGGATTAATAACACCTCATTGTACACTTCTCTTTCTTCATTTACATTTATTTCTTCTTATGTATATAATAATTCCTTGATATTCAATAAAAAATTATTAAGTTCACTGTGGAGTTAAAACTTAACTTTTTACATCAAATTTATTACAGTAAACTTAAGAATTTCTTGTTTATTGGATGGAAAAGACTCTTTCTTATGGTAAAATATTTTAATAAAGTTTTTAAGCTAATTGTTATTTTTTATTATTAAATCACTTACTGGACTAACTCAATGTCAGTTACACTGACAGAGCTTTTGTAACACTTTCTAGCATACAGAAGTGACGAGCATAAATATTTGCTAAACTCTCCTAAGCTTTTGGGAAGTTGTATAAATCCTTTTACCATCTTGGGTACTATTTAATTAAATCTATTTCTACTATGTATTAAATCATCTCAGAGAATGTCTTCACACAACTATAAAGAATTTAACATTTAGGAAAAGGGCTTAATAAATGAAAATTATACAAAGCAAAAAATGATTGGGGGATGTTTAATCAGTACTATAAATATTACTGCAAAATTCAGACATTTTTAAAAATAAAGGTATTTATTTCTAATGAAAAAGAAGGTTTTCAGAATATTTTTGTGTTCATTTATAAATACTTAAACATGCTATCATAACATTCAAGAAAAATTAAATAGCATTTTTTATTATAACAAAAGACCACATGTCTTTCTATGGCAGTTTACCAGGATTTACCTTTTTCTTCTTTAAATCACTTCAGTGACTAACAGTCATTAAAACTAGGATGCAGTTTTTAGGATGTTAATCACCTAGAAGCACTGTGTAATAAGAAAGTCAATAATATATTTGTTTGAGTGTGTGCACACGCATGATTTCGAATATTTTAACAGAGCAAAGTTAAGTTTTAAACTTTGCCTAGACTGTTTTATAAATAATTTAGCTACTCTACAGAACCTGGTGTTGACTTCTTATTGTTCCATTTATTGACAGTCCTTTCATCCCTACTTACTAAATTTATGAAAAAGTAACTGAGATAGTAAAATACCCTACATAATATATTAGTTTCCCCTACGAAAAAATGAGAATGGTCAATGCAGTTTAGAGTTGCTTGTTCATTCTGTGAGCTACCCAAAATTTTTAAATGCAGTGACAGTAGCAGGAGTATCACATTACACTAATTCCTGGTTTGTTTTTATAAAATTAGCACCAAATTACATATTTCAGAATTTCTTTACTTTCTCCCAACCTTTATCATAATGTGGTTTCTTTGGACCTATTTTCCTTACATACTTAATTATAATTATTATTTGATTGAGTATATGAGCATGGCTCCAATTTTGTATTACATTTTCATTTTGTGATAGAGAAAAATGAATCTGAAGAACTAGCATCATTCCAACTGTTTGGGTTATTTCACCTCTTCCGAGGAGATCAAGACACTTTCTTTGCTAGTGAATTCTTATGAAACTAAGTTATTTTGAAAGTTTGAAAGATGAAGTCATTTTGAAATTAGGTGAATAAAAATAACTTTATGGTGAATGTTGTGGTTCATTCAGCTCATTTAATAAAATCACAAAATTGAACATTAAAACTGTAGTATAGGGATAAAAAAACATTTATTTTACACTGTGGGCAACATAGATAGCAAATTAATTTTAATGATTACTTTAAATATCGATGTTCTCATATCTCTGTGTTTCTTGGTGGTTCATAATGGACACTATAATGAAGTACATTAATTTAAAATATTAATTACTCTTTTCCATCTTATTTAGCATGTTTTGCACCCTTAGCAGAATTATATTGTTCAACATGCTTCTCATTTGCTCTTTTATTAAACACTCTAATTAGAGAAGCATCTACTGAAATGAATGGGATATAGTGTGCAAATTTTTTATTATGAAGGAATAAATAAAATCTGACATGTAGGTCAACTATCTGCATTGGTAGGTATCTCATCTTTTACCTTGCTGTCTCTGGAAGCAGTAGCACCATTCATTGTTAGATATCAAACTGTCCTTGTATGTGTCACAAGAATTGAAGAATGCCTTCGTACACTGTTCATTCTTATCAAGGTAAATGCTTCCCAGCTCTGACTGATCCAGTAGCAGGTCATAGTTTGTATCAAGTCTGTTAAACATCCAGCCAAGTGAATCCTTGCAAATTGGCAAAATACTGGTATCAAATCCTATAGGCAGAGACAGAAAATGATTAGTTACATCTGAAAGTCACCATCGGCAGGAATCAAAATGAAGTAATATAGTAAAATAGTCGTTTGCTCAGTCCACAATGCCAGAGTAATTGCAAATATAGATATAGTTATTTAGGATTTAATTTTTAAATCCTATTTAGCACTTTTAGGATACTAGGATCAAAAATTAAATGGGTACTGACTCCAGGAGAATTGTAGACTTGACCAATCCAAAATTTTATCACCTTTCTGGAATGTATTAATGTTTTAAAAATATATTTATGGCTTATTATCTGTGCATCACCATACTAGGCAATGGAGAAAAGGTAAAAGGTATTTATGATGATTTTATAAAAGTGTAGAGAAAGAAATTCAGCGATTTATTTTGATTGTTTACATTTTTCTTTGTAAAATGGTTGGTAGAATCAAAACAGAATTCTCTCTGATGAAGCAATGTCAAACATAAATTACTCATTTCTTATTTCATTTCCAGGTTCTGACCTTGGTTCTGGAAATACAGGGTAGAAAGATGTAGATAAGGCCCCTAATCCCTTGGACCTTACTTTTAAAATAACATGGATTAAAGTATTGACTGAAACTGATTCTACCACAAGCTGTCATATGCTCAGGGATTACATGAAGAAAGCAACCTGTAGAAAACAAATATACAAAATTCCACACAACTATTCAAAGAAAGTGAGTTCTTAGTATGAGATTCTGGGTTGCATCTAAACCACACCCTCCCTCCCAATCTCATCTGCTGGGAAATGGAGGAGCCTAATGGTGATATACTGACCTTTATGAATAGAAGCTGTGGGAAGGAGAGAGAAGAGCTATTACCTTTTAGTAAGCATTTGGAGTTAGGGACAAGAGGCTCTCTTCTCCCTTCACCTACTTATTTAGAATGGAAGACTCAACTGGTTTGTCTTCCAAAGCTTAGCATGGATAACACTAAGAGAATCCTAGTAAAGTCTATAGTGCCTGCAAAAAGGGGAGATAGACATCTTTTTTCCAGGTGAATATCTGCTTGTCTTTTTACTAGCCCTGTTATTGCCAAAGTAGGAAAGAGTTGGTGTACAGCCACGTTGACCTAAGGCAAAGGCTGCTCTGGGATTTGATCAAAGCCTGAAGGCTGGGGTAGATGAGATATAAGGGAATGCCTAGAGAAAGTAGCAGGAGGCTAGCAGCTAGGGGTTCACCAACCAGTGTTTCCTGTTAGGAGTCAAGAGGTGGGAATCAGTGAAGAGATAATAGAGCCTTAAATCCCAGCCAACACCCTGGACTGTCTACTCAAAACAATGAAGAATGACTGAAATGTTAAAAACAGAGAGTGGCATGATGTGACTTTTGCTTTAAATGGAAAATGCTCTCTGTCATGTGTATAATATGTGGGAAAGTGTGGAAGCTGGAAGGCAATAGGGAGTAACTGGAATAGTACAAGTGAAAGATTTATGGGCTTGTTGTATCACATCTTCAAAAGTGCTTGAGTTTACTATGACTGATCACCAATCTTTAAAACCTAAATTTTAAAATTATCTTTGCCCAGCTTTTATGATGTACCTTGTAAACACACTTGTTGGTTTCAGTACATTCTTCTTTCTTATTTTTTTCAATGATAGTGTGAAAGAAAAGTATCTTTAGCCTTTCAATAATTTTCATAGCTCTACTTTGAGAACTTATCTTACAACCACTAACAAAAAAAGAGTATTTCTGGAAATAGAACATGTGCAGATATTTAACAAATGTTAAACAAAACAGAACTAAGAGTTTACCCTTTATGTTAAAGGAATATTAAATTCCCATAGAGTACATGTCTGCTGAATGACCAATTTGATGAAATGTAATAATGTTTTAAATGGATCAAAAGGCAGTTCCATTTTCAGCTTTCTGAGGAAATTCCACACTGCTTTCCATAGTGGCTGCACCAGTCTGCATTCCCACCAACAGTGGACTAGAGTTCCCTTTTCTCCACAGCCTCGCCAGCACCTGTTGTTTGTGGATCTGTTTATGATGGCCATTCTGACCGGTGTGAGGTGGTACCTCATGGTGGTTTTGATCTGCATTTCTCTAATGGCTAGTGATGCAGAGCATGCTTTCAAATGCCTCTGGGCCCTCTGTATCTCCTCCTTAGAAAAGCATCTGCCCAGGTCCTTTGCCCATTTTTTGATTGGATCGTTTGTCTTCTTGGAGTCGAGTTCGAGTGAGTTCTTTGTATATCTTGGAGATCAAACCTCTATCTGATGTATCATTAGCAAATATATTTTCCCAAATGGTTGGCTCCCTTTTCATTTTGCTGATGTTTTCTTTAGCCGTGCAGAAGCTTCTTATTTTGATGAGGTCCCACTTGTTTATTCTTTCCTTTATGTCCCTTGCTTTAGGAGACATATCAGTGAAAAAATTGCTGCGTGGGATATCTGAGAGTTTCCTGCCAATGTTCTCCTCTAGGACTTTGATGGTGTTGCGACTTATATTTAAGTCTTTTATCCATCTTGAGTTTATTTTTTGTGTATGGCGTAAGCTGATGATCCAATTTCAATTTTTTGCATGTAGCCATCCAGCTCTCCCAACACCATTTGTTGAAGAGGCTGTTATTGCTCCATTTTATGCTTCTGCCCCCTTTGTCAAATATTAGATGTCCATAGAGACCTGGGCTTATTTCTGGGCTTTCTATTCTGTTCCACTGGTCTATGGGTCTGTTCTTGTGCCAGTACCAGATTGTTTTGAGTATAGTGGCTTTGTAGTAGAGTTTGATGTCCGGTATTGTGATCCCTCCTACTTTGTGTTTCTTTCTCAAAATTGCTGCGGCTATTCGATCCAGCGATTCCCCTGCTGGGACTATACCCTGAGAACACCAAAACGCCAATACAAAAGAACCTATGCACCCCAATGTTCATAGCAGCACAATTTACAATAGCCAAGTGTTGGAAGCAACCTAAATGCCCATCAGTAGATGATTGGATCAAAAATATTATGGTACATATACACAATGGAATACTACGCAGCAGAAAGAAAAAAAGAAGTACTAAACTTCGCAACAGCATGGATGGAACTGGAGAGCATCATGCTAAGCGAAATAAGCCAGGGGGCGAAAGACAAATACCATATGATCTCACCTATAAGCGGAACCTAACCAACAATGCAAAGAAGCAAGGCAAATATGACCAGCAACACTGAAAGGAAAAGAAATCAACAGAGACAAGAGGGAAGGGGGGGGCAGGGAAAGGGAAGGGAAGGGGAAAGTCAAGGAACATATAGCAAGGACTCATGGACAAAACCAAAGGGGAAGAGCTGAGGGAGGGAAGGTGGGAGGGGGCAAGGGAAAGAGGGGGGGGAAGGCAGAGACAAATGTATTTAAAAAGTAAATAAATTAATTAAAAAAAATAAAATAAAATAAAAGCCCTAAAAAAAAAATAAAATAAAATAAATGGAGAATGTCAAGGTATGTGATTTAAATTCAAGTTTACTGTTCTATTGCTACCTTACTAGGTTAAGTTATTCAATATATCTAGGTTTTAATGTCTACATCTAGATAATATGAAGATTTTTAAAAAATGATCCATGTTACCTTGAAGATAAAAAATACAATAACCTGAAGTAATTTGAATGACATATATAAAATTGTGTTACATAAGTCATCAGAATAATAAGTAATAGAAAATTAAATAGAAAATAAAAGTAATAGGAAATAAAAAGACTAGAAATAACATTATTTTAATATTCTAAATAAAATATATACTTTCAATATGGTCCCGCTAATACTACAAATACAAAGTAAAATTAACAGGGAAAAAGGTTTTCCTTGTCTTATCTTGAACTTTTAGAGAAAATAGATACTGTTTGTTGACTTTGAGAGTTCATGGAAAATGTTATCATATAGTCAATATATATAATACAAATATGAAGGGAACTAAGATTGCAAGTATAATTAAAGTTGCTAATCAGCTGCTCTTAATAATGGAAGACTTCTGTGGATTTACTTGATAGACCCAATCTAATCACATAAATCTTAAAAGTAAAGAGCATTTCCCACCTCTAGTCAGATATAAATAAGACAAAAAAAAATGTCATTCAAGACAGAAGAGATCAAAAGCCTAGAAATACGGGTGGTACCTAAAAGCTGAGAGTACCTTTTAGTTTATAGCCAACAAGGAAACAGGGATTTCAGTCCTATGACTGCAAGGACCTGAATTTTGTCAATAAGCCAACTGATCAAAGAAATGGATCCTTTCCTAGAGACTCCAGAAAGCCTGAGCATTTGCAGAAAGCTTATTTTTAGTGTGGTGAAAACTGTGTTGGAATATTGGCCTACAGAACTGTAAAATAATACATTTGTGTTGCTTCAGCTAATAAACTTTGGAGCGATCTATCAGCATTGTAAAACTAATGTAATGTATTTACTATATTTTTTGTGTGTTTACCCTAAGGTTTACAGTGTGCACTATTAACTTATCACACACTACTTTCAAATAATATTATACCATTTCACATATCCTGTAAGAAACTTACCAGAGTATACTTAAACTCTTCTACATTGTCTGCTATTAGTGTTGCCCATTTTAATTCTACATATGTTGTAAACCCTACAGTGCTTTGTTATGATGTTTGCTCTAAAGAGTTTACTGGTTTTTCAAGTAATTAAAAATGAGAAAAGATCTTCTATTTTTAAAGAAACATATGTTCTTTATGCATAATACATCTAACACAACTGTGTTGTTTTTCTTTATCAAGAGGTTTTCCAATTCCCTGTGGACAAGGAGTTGTCCTACAATTTAATTCAATACTGACACTGTGTACCGTGATTTAGTGGAGATCCCACAAGACTGCCCCCACTTCAGGCACCAATAACAAGTAGTGAGTTCCCAGAGTACCCACACTTTAACTGTATTTCCTGTACTATGTGATATTTTTCTCTGGCTGATCACAGCTCTTAGTCCCTGGATATCTGGCGATCCAATTTTACTGCTGGGGTTTACTTGCTATTCCAAATGGCCCTCGTG